TAGGGCGACTATGAATTAATTTAATGTAGTTTAAAATCTAAGCATAACCTAATGCAGTTAACTTTCTATATTATTTCTATTTCTTGAAGCACATGCTCCTATTTAGAGTTTCGTGTGGTTTTTTTTTCCCCCCTCCAGACTAAAAAAGATTCTTGTCCTTTTTAATTTAGCTTTTGTGGGCATGTGACGAGTATTCTGCCTCGCTACATATTTCAGGTCTATTGTAGAGCCAGCCCTTCATTTCTCTGCTTCTCACCTGTTTCTGTCTATTTATTTGTGTATAAGATGTCAAAGGAAAATGAAAAGTAACACCTCAAAATACCACCTTGAAAAAAGAAAATGCCAACAAATTCTTTTCTGCACCTGAAGCTTTTAATTCTTTAATCCACCATGGAATGTTGCTTAATTACATATTTTATTATGCATAACTGAAAATTATGTACTTTAGTTTAAACAATGATATGAAAGCACGCATTGTTTATAAATAAAGAGAGGTTGGTTTGTCTCTCTTTTTTTGTGGTACAAATATTTGTGGAATTCTCACAGGTTCTCCTTCTAAAAGTGGCTTTTTGAGGATTGAGGGCTCTGGGAAAAACTTCAAGTTTTAGTTTTTTGGGTTTTTTTTAGAAATAAGAAAATGCATTACTTTCCAAAAAAAGTAAGATAATGAGCAGGAGCCATCGAACAGTTTGGATATTTTCTTAATTTTAAAAAGTTTTACAGCCCTAGCCAGTTTGGCTCAGTGGATAGAGCGTCAGCCTGCGGACTGAAGGGTCCCAGGTTCGATTCTGGTCAAGGGCATGTATGTACCTTGGTTGTGGGCACATCCCCTTTCAGTCCGCAGGCCGACGCTCTATCCACTGAGCCAAACCGGTTAGGGCAACAAAATATATTTTTAAAAAGTCTTACAAAGTATTTATTGACAAAACATGTTTTTGAACTGGGTAATGAATCCTTGGGAGTTCATTATTCTATTCTTTTTCATGTGCATTTGAAAATTACTATAACAAAGTGTTGTGGGTTGTTTTTTGTTTTTTTAATTTGGTATATATGAATCTTATACCAGGATGGCAGAGTTTGGGGATAGATATTTCATGATGAAACATTTCATATACTTGATTTCAATTACTTTAGTGATGAACTTTTTACATTAGCAAAATATGTGTTATATTTCTGAAAAAATTTGAATTGCAATTAAGTTTCCTATATTTTCTAAATTTGAGGAAGTTATTTTTTAAAGGAGAAAGTAGAGATAGAATTTGTAGGTAGTAGAGCTGCGTTTAAAGACCAATGTGACCACGTAGCTGAACAAGGGAGTTACGCTGAGTTTCTCTTCCCTCATCTTTGAAGTGGGAATGCCAGTACCCTCCTGACAACACTGCACAGTGGAATGGAGACACGTTTGTGGCGCTGCCTAGTAAAATGAAGCCTTCAGCACACGTTTTGCTATTATCACTTTAAGCGTATTTGAGGAGGATGGTAGGGAAGGGTCCTCAGAAGGTAGGAGGCCTTTGTATGAGATGGTAAAACAAATATTTGGAAATTAAAACTGGAAACGAAGGGGGAGTAGCTGAAACCTGGCCCCACATGAAGATGCTGTTGGGCAGGTTGTGCTCTGGACAAACGCGCATTTTGCATCACATTGCCACAGACTCAGCGAATCAAGGGACGTATTTAAATATTTGAACCTTGTCAACATTTTCATCTAACAGGTACTGTAAGTGGCAAATCAGAGCCGCACGTGGAACATCGTTTCTTTTTTGGGCCCAAGGGCATGAATTAGAGACTGTCACTGGACTGAAAGCTTGAGTACCATAAAAAGCAAATATTCAGTAATAGGAAAAATGTTCAACTGGCAGTAACGAAGTAATGCTTAACATTTAATCTAATGCAAAATACATCACTTGAGTTTCTTTGTGTTTATTTTGCAAGGCAACAAATATAACATACTGCTCTAAGGCATTCCCTCATTAACCACCTTATTGTGGAGAACAGGGCCCAGGTCATGTGCCTTTGATCACAGTAGGGATATTAGCAGTTGAAAACAGTGGATGGAAAGAAATGACGATATAGTTACCCCCACCCCCACTCTCACCCCCTGGCCGGTGTGGTATGGTGGTTGAGCATTGACCTATGAACCAGGGGGCTGTGGTTTGATTTCCCCAGTGTGGGGCATGCAGGAGGCAGCTGATCAATGATTCTCTCATCATTGACGTTTCTCTCTCTCTCTCCTTCTCCTTTCCTCTCTGAAATCAATGAAATTATATTTTTGAAAAAAGAAAACGACAATATATAACCTTAATATAAGCAAGAAACCATAATGGGATTGTGGAATTATTTTGATAAAATTAAAGTTAGAAATGCATAATCCACATAAGTAGGGTAATGTAAGAAAGGCTTAAACATGTTGCTCATCTTTTAAACAGTAATTCCAAACTATTTTTATTTAACATTTGGTATCAGAAACAGGGATCGTATTCTGGACATACACCTTCCACCACATTTTTTAAATAAGGGCACTGTATATTTTCATCAAAAACGTGTGTTAATAGATTGTAGCTTAGCCTTTGTCAAAAAACATGCAAGTACTATTTACATGAAAAGGATTGCCCCAGAAGAAACACCAAATCCATAATACACCCCCTTCAAAAGTAAAAAATATTTATTTGTAAGGTAAACTATAGCATCAATATCTTCTGATATTTTAGATATGATTAATGTTTTTGGACCTCCATTGATTCCCACCTACCATGCAAATTGCCGGCTTGTTTTAACATAGTAGTCCTTTCTCTATAGGTTATTTAATAGGGTTTATACATTTTAATTGCTCTCTTTGAAAATATCACCAGGCAGTTCAGAACAGCTCATTTATTGATAACATTGTGACATTCAAGGACCTTAAAATTGGCTGATGATAACAATAGGGAATAGGGCAGACTTTCATAATGGAATGTATGGGATTGTCATTTTTACTCAATCTGGAACCATTTGAAAATGTTTTCTACTCAAGCTATATATTTTAGATAAACATAGATATAGATAGCACTACTTATAAAAAGACACACTTCTTTTAAGCTCAGAATTCATTGGGGCTAAATGTGAATCTATACACACTTTATACATAGTATGAACAGACTTTGTAACCAAGTGCCACACAACTAGGGCACGCATACATATTAGTTACCTTGGTTGTCAAAGGTTACGTGTCAACTCTGCATATTTTGTGCCAAGGAGATACTATCAACATTATTTTTTGCATAATGTGCAAGTATTATATGGCCACAGAGTGTAATACAAATTAGTGGCAAAGTGCTGAGGGGAGGAATCCATGACAGATTCAGATGCGCAAGGTTGAATATTACCCGTAAACTACCTGACTCTGCTAAGGTCTTCACAGCACGAAGCGCTATGTCATGCCCCGCTTTTAAAGTCTCTGATAAACTTGGACACAATGAAGCTTGCTCAAGGAATTTTACCATAGCCGCCAGCAATAGGACTGGTGTGAGCAAGCGATAGGTGGCATTGGGGGGGAGCAATGTGGAAGATCACCCAGACAAATCTTTTCCAAGACATGCCATCTTTCCTGAAAACAATTGTACTCACTCCATCATGACCATGATTGTTTACTGACATGTGCTATTTTTGGGGAGTGGAGAGGGTATTAAAATGTCCTATTAGCAGAATTAGGGCTGCCAAGATTAAAGGGCCTAAGAATTTTGTTAGTAGTATTGATTTCTTCCACACACTCATCAATTCCTTGAGAAAGTTATTGCATAAGTTAGATTATTGGGAATGGGAAAATCATATTTGCAATCCAATTTCTCCTTTCCCTCCCCAAATTAAATTTCATACCTCTGACATCTGTTAAGTGTTGGGCTGGTTTAAAAAAAAAAAAAAAGTCACTCTGTTCTAAATTTTCTTTAACATATGAAAAAAGAGGAAGATAGAGTTTTCTTAAAAACTTCATAGCATACTAGTGTCTATTTTTCTTATTTTTAATACATGAATCTTATGTCTATTCTAATTCAAATTCCTTTTGCTCAAATTATTTCCCTAAACTCTAGGGAACAAGAATGTTTAAAAGTTTCCTCACTTAATAAAATATCTGAAAACTTTTCAATCAATTTTAAGTCTGCAGCAAACCAGCTGCCTTCATAGTAGTTCAGCTGTGCTTTAAAAGTAAATAGTACTTTTGAAAACTGAATTCAGAGTTTTCTATGATCCCATTTCAGTATCCTAAGTAGAAGCTCAACGCTAAAGCAACCCAGTTGACTACCAATGAGCTTATCATGGCCTAGGGCACTGGCAGGAAAAGAATGGGCCATTTCAGAACCAAGTTTTAAGGAATTCGGATACCCCTATTAACATCGAGGAAACCTTAAAAAAAGGAAGCAAGATATAAAGTGAATAGAAAAAGAAAATAATCAGAAACTGCAACACTGGCCTCCAACCTTCCCATGACCATTAGCACACCCTAATTTTGTATCTTGGAAATTGTGTTTAAATTCCAGGTGTTTTATTCATATTTTCTGCATGAACCGAGTTAACATATATTCCATTTATAACTTTTAAAAAATACATTGCTTATTAAGGAATATTTATACAAAAGGTCCCTTTTTCCTTATTTTGTTATTAATGGCCTTTAAAAATATGTGTACATTAGCTTAAAAAAAGTGTTGCCATAAGTGAAGTACTGTGGAATAAATGCAGATGAATCCACTTTCTAAGCACATAACTGCTAGAGGCGGGATTTATGTTTTTGCCAGTGAGTCTTTAGACCGTCCTGCTGTTTACTAAGCAAAATGTTAACCCCAAACAGGTTATGATCTTCATAGTTAAACTTTAAAAAAGAGCATGTGTTTGTGATCTAAATTTACAGCATTTCGAGTGACTTTTCCTTCAATTGCTCTTTTAAGAATCAGTATGAAGATGCACCTAACCGAGAGGACCACCTTTGACTCTGGATAGTTACTCCACATAAGCAGACAAACCCTACCATGTCATACCATACAAACAATTTTAATTGTGTAGTTACAGTCAATAACCACTTCCTAATCAGAATATTTCTGCATAAAGAAAATTGTGATACACTTATAAAAACAGCCAGCTGTAACAAAATAGCTGGTGTTTTCATAGCCATAAACTCATAAAAAAGAAATACACCTTTATACAGAAATTTTATACAGATGTAGCTTTAAAATTGATTGTAAACCAAAGGAAGACACATTGCAAACATCAATTATTTTCACATTAATTGCATAATTTTCTAAGGTGATCTATTAGTTTTATTTACCTAAGCTTATTTGCATGATAGTAAAAATTGCATACAACAATAAGAGTGAAGCTTATAGTATGAATTGCTTGGATAACATAGAGCACTTTTTATAGGCAACTGTGTAAAGCACATTTTCTCTATTTAAAACTTTTAAGACACTTTGTTTTACTGCCCATCAAAATACATTTATAAATAGAAAAGAATCAGTATGGTAACAAGAGAAGCAATATTACATTTAACGGAAACTTCCAAAAAATTAATTACAACATGATGCTGCAGGATCTACAAATAAATAATGAGGACTAAACTGTGTTTCACATTTTCTTTTCATTTAAAAAAAAAATCATGTAACAATGAGAATGAAAAAAAATTACAGTGAACTTTTATTTCCAAAATAAAAACAAATTTGAATTACGGCAGTGCCATATAATACAAGGCATTTGTTGGCATATGTCATCTTTAAACTGCATTCCACAGTCTATAGTTCTTTTGTAACATACAATAGAGTAACAAACTCTTTTTTTTTTTTCTTTTAAAATAAGGGGCGAGTTTCCAAAGATCAGTGTGGAGTGTTACAGAAATAATGAAAGGAAGGAAATCATAATCACAGAAGTTATAATGCTTGTTTGAGGCTCCAGAATAATAGTAATTTTTTTTTAAAAAAAATCACTGGTATCATGCTGACGGGGTACACACCTCGGTGCGTTCCCGAGAACACAAATCTGAACTTTTAATACCAAACAATCCTCAATGCTTCACCTGGGGCTGCCGAGCAGTTTGTAAATCGGAGCAAAACATTTAGTGCAGTCTGCATTATCCCTTCTCAACTTTCCTGTTTGTGCAAGTTTCTGAAGATTCATTGGCCACACCATGAACAACAAAGGTTTCTGCGCGCATACAGGTGGGTTTTCATTGTGTTAGGAAATACCAGTGGCACTGCTGAATGAAAATAACACTTGATGTCTCAGTCTTTCAAGTCGGCGTTAATGTCCGTGTTCCCTTCCACCGCTAGCTCGTCTTCCAGCTTCACCGAGAAAAGGGTGTTCGCGTTTTTGTCTTGCACACCCTCTTCTAAATCCTTAAGCAGCTCCTCCTCTTTGTATTCGGCCACGTCCACCTCCAGGCCGGAGTTGTCCTTCAGTTTGCCGTGGTGCTTCAGATAGTACCGCTGGTTCTGAAAGAACTTGATGATGGTGAACTTGGGCAGGTCCAGCTGGGCGGACAGAGTCTGGATGGCCTCCTCGTCCGGGTACAGGCCGACGTCTTGGATGAAACTCTGGAGGATCCCCAGGGCCTCCACGGAGATCTTTGTGCGCGGCCGCGTCTTCTGGCGGGTGTCGTCCTCGGCCTCGGCCGGGGAGGCCACGGTGGGCTGCCGCGGGGGGAGCCGGGGGCCGGCGGGCTGCTGCGCCTGCGGCTGCGGGGGTGGCGGCGCAGGCTGCTGGGGCTGCGGCTGCGGCGGCTGCGGGAGAAGGAACAAGCGGACAGTCAGACTGCGCTCTCCCGGGTGCGCGCGAGGCAGCTAGAACTACGGAGCGCATGGTTGGGGGAGCGCATGGTTGGGGGGTGAGCCCACGCCTGGCTTCTTGGATGGGGACAAGGGCTCAGGCCCAAAGGCAGGCCAGCGGAAGGAACCCACAGCATTCGGAAAAAATATCAAAATGATAGGCACTAGGAAGGAAGGACTTGGGTTTGGGGGGCTACTGGGCCTCCTTCTCAGAGGTCACCGGAGCCTCCCTAACCTTGATTTTCATTTTCTGTCTGTGCCAGAAGTTTGCACATTACGGGAAGACAAGCAAAGCCAATTATGATATAAATAATTAAGATTTAAAAGGAAGATCCAGAAGGATTTCAAAGGCATTTTAGAAAGGTGAGGTACAGAGCCATGCAAGAAATGTGTTTTGCCTATGTCATCGCGTAGGTAAAACATGGAGCAGGATTCCAAAGTTGTATTTAAATTGCAATCAAAATGGCTAGCCCTCCCCTCTTCTTCAGCATTCTCTCTTAGGAGTCCGAAGGATTTTTGAGAGGCTGATGTTTGTGAAATTCCTACCAGACAGTCCTGATTTCATGCACAATGTCTTACCAAATGGCACTAGGCTGACACTGCAAGCTTTTTTCCTTACGGAAAAATAAAGGTCCAATCCGCCGCTAGCGAATTGTTTTGTCTGTGGTGAATTTGGATGTGATTAGGATTGAAAGTGTACACAGACACTTTTTCATGATTAGTACCTGTGTGTGTGCTGTGATTTCCCTACACAAGGATACATTACAAATGTGCGATACATGCACGTAACTGTACTCGCTACCCCACACCTCCTATCAGCAAAGCAAATCAGCCCGAGTGAGCGGCAAAATATCAGAACATTCATACAGTGCCTACGCAGTTCCTTTTACTCCCTAAGAAGCAATTTTTTAAAAAACGATTTACATTTTCAAACAAGTCCTACTCTTATTACTTAATGTATATCTCCCTCTTTTTTTGTTTTCGCTAAACAGTTTTTCAGGCTTTCGGGATTATTTTAGTGCTTGATATCCTCAGGGATTCTCTTTTTCAATTTATCCTGAATACATACTCAGGGATATTTTTCCTAGTGGATGGATAACCCTGTTATTGTTTTTAGCTACATATGTATTTTTCCCCAGCAATACTCAGAAATAATGCAGGTGATTCACCAAAGATGTTAGGATTTTAGGACTCTGGAAGGCAACGGCATTTTTCCTTAAAGGAGAAGTTCCCCTTAAATTCAACAAAAACAAGTTATACAGCTCAAGTTCAATTTCAACATACTTCCTAAGCAACTGAGGCCTTAAGAGTGCCTACAAAACACCTGACCCCAGAGTTTTCCAATCTCAATTCATAGGGGAGTTCCCTCAGTTGGGTGAATGGAGATGAGTCCCATGACATAGCAGCTAAGTACAAGGCTGAGTCTGTTGGCACAGTGGTCTCGGCCCACCACCATGGTCAGGCTGTCCTTTAAAAGTCTGAATATCCCGACCAAGGGAGCAGGTCTTTAAGCCACCCCCTGTCTGTGTCCCTCTCTTTCTAGCAAAGGGAACTTGTGCCCGCTCACCTGAGGAGCAGCACTGAGCCACGGTGCAGGGGTCAGCAGGCCTGGCAAGAAAACGCCTCTAGACTCTCCTTTCCCAAGGGTGGTGGGAGAGGGGCTCTAAAGGAAAGACAAACAGACATGACTCGCCCCTAACCTGTGCTCTGTGAGGGTATAGGGCAGGGGTGGGCAAACTTTTTGACTCGAGGGCCACAATGGGTTCTTAAACTGGACCGGAGGGCCGGAACGAAAGCATGGATGGAGTGTTTGTGTGAACTAATATAAATTCAAAGTAAACATCATTACATAAAAGGGTACGGTCTTTTTTTTCAATAGTTTTATTCATTTCAAACGGGCCGTAGTTTGCCCAGGGCTGGTGTAGGGAGACAGCTGCAAGGTGAAGGAAGGGCCAAGGAGTCGGGAGCAAGATTCCGTTTAGGTTTCCCTCCCCACTTCCTTTTGGACAGAAGCCAATGTATAAAATTGTGATTCTACAAAATCCCCCTACAGAAAACAGCAATCACTCCTTTCCTTGGGTGCAGTTCAGGTATTAGTTTTTTGTATGTTTTTTTTAAGGTGGTGTGTTTTAAATTCTGATTTAAAAAAGAAAATTATGAAGCTCATACACACAAAACAACCCAATTCTAACAAAGACTCACTTGCCAAACAGGAAGTGTAAAAGGGGGTTCCTGCCACTTTGGGGGTGGGGAGTGAAGGAAGAGGAACACAAAACACATGTTGGAAAAAGTGTTAATTTTCCTCTCATCCCCCTGAGCAAGACAGCAGTGTATCACTATCGCTTGCTAAGAAGCCCGTGTGTAGACTGCTGGGAAGGAGAGAAACGCTAATTTCCCTGCTAACTTTAAAGCTCTGTTTACTTAGTGCTATCTTGAATTGGCCAAGGTAAACGAACCTGAATCTGCTCTGCCGGAACGTGGATGATGTGGGGCGGCCTGTCGCCATGGTGATGTACCGCGTTGCTCTCCTGTTCATATATGGCATCGCGTTCTTGCTGGGGAAGACTGAGGAACCTTCGGATCATGGAGAGGTTCTCCCACAGGGTCCTGTTTTCTGGAGAAGGATCTTCTTTCCAGCGTAACAGCTCACACAACCACCCCTTAGAGACAAGGGAATAATAGGTCAGCTCATGTGGGCGGGCGGGGGGGGGGGGGGGGGGGGACTGACAATTTCCATTAGGAGCTTAAAATGGAAAGACCCTGTGAAGTTAATTTTTTTCATAAGCTCAAAATACTCCAATCTGCTTTAAACAATTTTGTGAAACCTCTGAGAAGAGCTGTGGTTGTCAAAAAGACAGGCTCTGTTTCCAATAAACGTTCAGACTGGCATCTTAAAAGAGGGTAATATTTTTCAGACTCCAAGGGCAAGACCCATTTACCCGGGGCTTTGTGATATGTGAGAAACAGGAGAAAAGCCAAACTGGGTGCGCCTGAGCCTTGCCCAACCTTCTTGTCTGATGAGTGTGGCCACCTGCGGTCCTGCGAGTATTTAAGGAGAGTTAGGACAGACTTTTAGAATAATTATTTAAAAAGGATTTCATAAGTTTGGAATGTTTGTATTAGAAAGGAAATTAGGTATGAATATTTGTGTGTGTGTGAAATAGAGAAGGGATGTGTGCAACTGTGTGAGAACGTTGTCCACTATATAAAGCAAAATGATTATACACTGGGCATTCGAAGAATTCTCAAGGAAGAACTTTCCAGAGAGATAGCGCGGAGTCCTGCTTTTCTGCCTGCTGCAGGATACACATGTGATTTGTCAAGCAACCATTTTAACAGGTTTCCTGAGCAAAGAGTGAACTATCAGATTATCAAGAACTGAGTGGTCTAACACAGTCCATTGTCCAACATTTTCTAATCACCATCTCAAACCTCCTTTATCTTGGCTGCCATGATGGGCGTAAGGAATGGGGTGGAGAGGAAGCGGGGCATCACCCCCAGGCCCCCTTCCCCAGCCAAGGCTATCACCCCCAGTTGCTGTGCTGCCTGCTTAGAGCTCAGAGCCACACTCTTTTCTGGAGAGAGATCTTGGAGGCATCTCACCTGGAGATGCCTGGACAGTTACTCCACTTCCTCCCTGGCCCCCTTGCCCAGGGTGGCCATGCCTGGCTGCCCCAGTGGTTCCAAGTCTCTGTACCTTCAATTTACTGCTGTTTTCCATAGAGGGATTTGTTCTCTAGAGATGACCTTATCTCCCCTTTACTTGTGACCCTTTTTCCCTATCCTCCTTGCTCCTTCCAAGTCCCTCACCAAATCAAGTGCATCCGACTCCCCATCTCAGGTTCTGCTTTAGGGAACGAGGCCCTAAGACACAGGGGCTTCTTGAAAATTTCAACTAAATTAGTTCGATATGAATGGATCAAGTACATTTTCTTTATTATCTGATTTTTAGAACTAGCCAAGGAGAAGGTAGTTTTGTCTTTTGTTTTGCTGGTTGTTTTTTTTTGTTGTTGTTGTTGTTTGTTTGTTTTTAATGTTACCTTTGGAGTGAGAATGGTATGGTTCTTCCTCCCTTTCTTCTCAGCCTGAACCACTGGGGAGAGAATTCTCTTTCCAATTGCAATATATAGTGAGAAGAAGGAAGGTACACTCTCCCCAAAATGGCCTATTTGAGAGATTTTAGAGAGAACTGAGACATTAGCTTCCCAAGGCCCATCTACGAACCAGCCAAGGGTGACTGCTGCTAACCCATAGGAGACCTACCAATTTTTCTGAGAGAGCTTTGATTCTCTACTCAACAGGTCTTTTAATTAAACAAATATGTACATAGGGACAGTCATGCAATCATGCACTCATTCAATGCTACCGAACACATAATTATTCCAGGCTAAAAGAGTAGCCAGTAAACTGAAGATGTGCCTAAAAGAATATTAGCTAAATGAAAAATAAGAATGCTGATAACAGTGTCATTGAACACACTTCTCTTCTAACCTTGGGAATCCTATGTTTATTTCCAGAATAATATGACATGTCATATTTTAGCTCTATGTTTGTACATTATTGACTAGAAAACTATATTCCAGTATTTGAAATATTTGAGACCCTGAAGATGATTATTTAGTGCTTCCTAGCAAATATTTGCTGTCTAGAGTAAGCCATGAAAATATATTTTCCTACATCTAAGCTATCTCTTTACACTTTACCTCTAAGTTTTCATGCTGTGACGGTTTTAGATGTATCTTCCCGTAAGTCGGAATATTAACTACTAGAGGCTGGTGCATGAAATTCATGCACTGATAGGATCCCTAGCCGGCCAGGGCCTTCCTCCCTTCCCCTGGCTGGCCCGCCCCCTGGTCAAACTACGGTCGAGGGGACAATTTGCATACTATGCTTTTATTATATAGGATGCTACTTTCCTCCTCCTTGTCTTCATTCTTTGGCTATGTCAATTGACACCTGCCCCCATGCCTAAACACAGCAAATACTACAATTTTATTTATCTTTCAAGAGATGTTAGAAGGTTCATGAAGATGCTGTTTTGGGTTTTTTTACTTACTAGTAGCTAGTCTTACATTATTGCAGTAAGTGCTCAACATTGAGATTCTAAGAATTAAAAAAAACAACAACACACTAATGCTTGCAACTAAAAATTGCTAAAAGTTAAATTAAGAACGATTCATGTAAGAAAAGCTTCTTGGAGAGAGCTGAAAACTCCAATAATTTTCAAATCCTTTAGAAACTTTTTCATGCCGAGATCAGTTAGCACTTGCATATATATGTGAAAAAAAACATGTGGATCACAGATGTTCTCTGGAAAAGAAAATCATTAGTTCTTTTAAAATGGCTAATAATGATAGCTAATTCCTAAACAATCACATTCACGCTGGTTTCACAAATATTTCAGAAAAAGAGCCCCGACTCATTCAACAAATATTTGCTCATATTGTCACTTGTGTGTCTCTATACTTACGAGACAGACCCTTATTTTTATTAATTGCCTATGACTAACATAACATTTCCAGTAGTTTGCTATTAACCTCTGCCCTTAAATAATACTTCTAATTCCTTATCTAAAAATAATTTGATGAATTATAAGTCTGAAGCATGTCTCTGCTAGCCTTTCAAGAAACACGGTCATTTAAAGAGACTGAAATCAGATGCTTCTTAGAAAAATATTTAACAGTGCAGCTGGGAACTGTTAGTTCTACAAGGATATTCCAAAAAAACAAGGGGGGGGGGGTTCTTTCCTTGATGTGCGTATCTCTTAAAAAGTAATGGAAAACAGATATTCTGACATGCCAGTTCTCTGTCAGCAGAGAAAATAATCTGGCTCATCCCCAATTCACACCGGCAAAGTAAGATTAATGTTTTCTAATACTATTTAAATGCCTTGGAATATTCTGACTACCTCAAAATCTATGGATTGAGATTCTATTAATGATGACAGTAATCTAATCTGTGTTTTGCAGAAAGTGGCTAAAAAAGCCAAATGCTTTCTAACCTTTTTCTAGATCACTTTTCCGTAAGTGTTATTGTTAGAGCATATAAATTTGGGAAGAAAATGAACATGTCAGAATATCTGTAATATTTAGCAAATAAAAAATATTGATTCCCCTAAGCACTGTATAGGTTTTTAAATGATAAATTTATAGATTTACTTGGTAGAGAGGAGACAAGGAATGAAATGCAGCACTAGGTTGCAAAATGTGAACATAATTACATTTTTAAGAGAGGTCTCTGAGACTTGAGATATTAAAAGACCATAGGCCGGGGTAGGAAACTACTCTCAAAATTAAATTCAATGACAACTGTTCCAAACAGTGGAAAAGAGAGAAGATTAAAAGCCTTCAAATAATGATACCGATCCATTCTCAGGAAACCAAAATGGCACAGGGAACAACCTACACTTTAAAAGTAGTAAATTTGCCAACCAACATTACACTGCATATAAAAAGGGCAAAATATAAACAGTAGCCACATGTAAATAAATTAGTAAAACTTTCAGGATGTTACTACTTTTCAAACTGACAAAGTTTAATTTGACACCTTCTGTTCTAAACCCTTTGTTTCTATTCAAAATCACGCCTTGAGCTGTTGCTATCAATCACAGAGCTCCCCCCTATTACTTAAAAAAACTGGCATGGACCCTGAATAAGCTGAAAATGCCATGCAGATGAATTCTGAGATAATATGTTCAAACCTGTTATATACAACACAAATCCTGTAAAGTTATGTATTGTAAACCTACATTTATTGAGAACTAAAAGTCTTAAATCCATCTGCCACAAAGGAAATACTGTTATGTACTTTATAGTAACCAAGAACCATCTGCAAATGTCTAGCCACCGTAAGCAAGAAAATGGTGCAATGGATGCTAATGCTAAGACTGCACGGAATAACATTCTTTTGACTGGATTTGGTTAGGGGTCTATTAAAGAAATATAAAATCAAGGGGGAAAAAAGGAAGAAAAGGAAGAGAGAAAATGCAGAGTGACTGCCAAACCAGTACTGCAAAAAAGCAAAACAAACTCAATGACAACACAATGGCAATTTATTATGGTCCATGAAGCACACGACTGTATGCTCATTTTAAAGGAAAAATTAGCAGTTCTAAACTCAATATTCTAATGATGTGCTTTACTGACAGAATCTTGTTGTACCACATTTAAATAAAAATCCTGGCACCTTCTTCGCTCAGCTGCTAATTTCCAACCAAACTCAACCTCTGATTTCCATTCTAGTCAGAACAGTTACTTCAAGTCAATTCACTTCTAACATTTTAACGGATAAGGGGTGCACGATGATTTTCATGTAGTCAGGAAAGGAACCTCATTTCACGAATGAATTTATTGTACCTATAGCATCCCACACATAAAAAGAGAAACCTTTCAAGGCCTGGCCTGTGATAAAGCTGGGAGCATGCAACACAGTTAGTTTTCCAGGGGAAAATAGACTTCCCATATTCTCTGAGGAAAAAAGTCATTTAATACAATATACAGATATGTATATATAATCATTCTATACATATACATTTTGAACCCAAGAGCTTTAAAAAGAGAAAGAAAATGACAAATAATTCTTGCTACAACTAAGAAGGAAAATACATTTAAAAAACAGAATGGTAATTTGAGTTCTAAAAAGCAAAACATTTTATAGTCTG